TATATATATATATATATAAGTATATATTGTATATATTTTTGTGCAATAGAATGCTATCCCAGTTTGTATCTGATATTTTTAAAGCTTTTATTAGAGGACATTATCTCACTTTATAAATAAAGATGTATTTAAATGTAATGCATAAAAATAAAAATATCGTTTTTTAATACACTTTTGGTACTTAAAAATAGACAAAACTGTATAAAGTCATAATTGTAGGATTATATATTCTCGATCATCCGTGGAAAGCATTAGACATAACATTATACAATCGTCATTGTTAAAACTAACCGAATATTGTTGTTACATTTCTTTTTATAAAAACTTTTAAGGAAATCGTTGTCGCACCATTATGCGAGTATTGGTTGTATAGTTTTTTAGAATTAGAAATTTCTACGAATTTATATATATCTTGATTTAGATAAATCAAATGTGGAGAAATTCTTGCATAATGAGACTAACCATAATTCTCGCCGTTAAACGAGTAATTGGTTTTGCATTTTTAATTTGGACATCTTTTAAAGATCTGATATGGTTCACCAGTATTTATCATTAATAATTGACATGGGATTTTTCTTTAATTTAAATTAATTATAAAGCGAAAGAAATATGTTAACTTATTTATATCGAGGAAGTGTAACCGAAACGTTTATATTATAATTTATATATTGATAATTATATTGATGTTAAATTTATATTAAATTTATATTAACAAAACACCTTATATTGCTCGTTATTTGGTCGCTGATTTTTGAATTGTTTTGCATTGCAAACTTCGAGCGTTTATTTATATTCTTGTTTTGGTATATATTAGAGATTTATAGTATTCTAAAGAATAAAAATAAAATTAATCTAAATAATTTATGAATGCAGCGATGAAACGTATCAATAACATTAGTCCAATTACAATTATTATTGGAATTTACATTGAGAAAAGTATGTTTTATATAGATGGAGTAAAACAGAAAAAAAACAAATATTCGCCACTCTTATTGTTAGAGTATTGTTTTGTACCTATATATAATAATTAAAAATATTTACCTTCTGTTATTATCGTGTTGCGAAACTCTACAAAGTTTATTTTTATCATGGAGAAACCTATATGCATATATATGATACGTACTTACACATGCATGCTTGGATACATGATAAAATCGGAAATATGTAACTTTGTTAAAGTAAACTTGTGCCACAATGTCGGTAGGAAACTTAATAATAACGATAATATCGTAAATTTGATATGATAGAATAATTTATTGACTACGACAAAAAAACTGCCGAGAATCGCCGTCAATACTTGGGTACTAAATATCGACAACTCCCGTCCGATGCGAAAGAGCGGAAGCATTCTCATTCAACGGAGATATCCTTAGTTACGTCGCGTGACTGTGTCCCGGTTAAACAGACGCTCGAGGGTGAATCACGTACGTGGCTACGCAATGTGTCCCTCGAGATGTAGGAAGCATCTCTCGTTAGCATCAGCAAACCGGTCAGTCACTCGCGGACGGCAAGCGTGTGCACACAGCACCCACACACACAGAGATATGCTTGTTCGATCGTGGTGTCTGTCGCGACGACGGAGGATTGGAGATACGAAGGACCTGATATCTAATCGGACACGTACGCGAAATTAGTCCCACCGGTTCGAAACGCAAATTGACGCAGAAGTTGGTGCCCAGCGTCGAGACCTCTGATTGAAAAAGTACCCCAGATATGTCCCTGATCGTCGACGAGGCATCTTCGAAGAACAATCGGAAAACGTATTAAAGCTAATAAGGATCGACTCTTTTTCTGAATTATTTCAAAATTACCTTGAAACTGTGTCATCTTATTTTGGACTTCATTAAAAATTTTAATTCAACTGAAATCTTTTTGATATCAATTATTTCTACGGTCATGAAACGTATATACTCTTCGTAATTATTTAATATGTGACCGGATAGTTTTAGGCGATCAACGAAATTGCATCTGTTATTCTCAACAATAACAGAAATATTGATGGCATTGACAGGGACTATCGGCGAAGGTGTATCTATTGTATAATGAATCAGAATTCACCGATTCGGATCGAGCCCGGTTATATATTCCCGTAGGATCATTCCAACCAAAATAGTAAATAGAGATAGAACAAAACTCGTTAAGTGAATAACGGACGAGAGATACATTTTTCATTCGCCGGGATTCTTTCTCGTCAAATCGTGCCGTGGGGGAGAAGGCTGCCTTCTTTGAAAGATAAATGATAACGAACGCGGTTGAATGAGAGTGACGCGTTTGGAATTATGTGGCAAATTGTCGCGCGTCGCGTGGGCATTGCGGTCCGCGGAATAAACGCAAAAACGTTCGTACGCGCGAGGCGAGGCGACGCGACGGAGACGGGTGAGATGCAAAAAAACGCGCTCTCCGCAAACAACCGAATCGTCGACGCCGCGGAGATTGAAAAATATCGCGTGAAAAGCGCACAGACGTCGATTTTAAATTGCTGCCGAGGGCCTTTTGCCGAAGGTGCAGGAATCACGGCTGCCATTCAAGGGAGGCATGAACGAATTGGACCGGGCTACAATGGATCGCTGATTGGTCAGTTTTGCCGCTGACGCTCTTAAACGACTCGTAATTTGTAATCGCATTATCCGTCCGACATCGGGAACGATCGATCGATCCATTTCCTCCCTCTCCCGCCCGCCAGGCTGTACCGCCGACTTCTTCTTCTGTAGTAGGATGCCCGTCCGTTTACCGTTTTATCGTTTGCCACGACATCGCGTCCCGTCTCTATGGGAATGCCGGGGGATCGAGAAGCTCACCTCGGACCGTTTGCGAAACGACAACGGCGCGGGATTATATCTGTCCACGGAAAATCGGATTTCTATCTCGGAACCTGGGCGGTTGGGGCACCAACCCCTCGCGCCACCCCTTGCCTTTCTTTCCAACCGTGTCTCCGCGCGCTCTTTTTATCCGGGCGCACATAAGGACGTACAAGATTTTCCGAGAATTCTTCTCCGGAAACCCCCGGGGGAGTGCGTCGGGACGTCCGCGCGGTGCGATCGAGCGAGCATCCGAGGAGCGGGATGTCTCCGGAGAAACCGGAGGATACGAGGGTGACGCGGGAGGATCTCGCGGAGAAAATTATCGCTGGTTATCAGAGTCGCGACCAACGAGCCATGCCCACTACATTTTCCGATTGTTATTACCCTACTGGTCATTTCATCGCTTTTCAAGAGGACAGCTATTTTGCTTCCACGCTCGTTGATCCGCATTAAGAGCTTTCCGAGAAGAAAGGAGGAGAGACAGGCAGAGAAGGAGGAAGGGAGAAACGGAGAGAAAGAGGAAGGCTTTAAGAGTCTCCCGAGAGCTTATGGAGTATCGCGCATGGCTGGTGGAGTATCGGGCGAAGAACATACTTGGTTTATCGAAACTCGTCACATATGACGCGTTATTACTCTATTGTGAATGTTCGTCTAACGTCTAACTTTACGCTTTGTTCAAAAACTTGGAAAAACGGAAAAACGTTACGGAAAAATTCCCAGAAGAGTTTCTCGAAACTTGTCAATTAGCCGGAGATTAACGAACAAATCATGGATCCGTGGTAAAAATAATAGCGCACTCGGGGAAGCGTGGATACGCGAATTCGCGGGAATAACAACAATTAGAGACCACATTTTTTTTTTTATATACACATATATAAATATAATACGAGGCTACCGGAGTATATGTAACCACGTTCAGCTTGAAATATAGAGTGGGATTCAGTTTGCCATAGTAAATTCCACGAATAATTTCTGACTTTTGGCCATACGGAATTAAAAATTTACGCTGAATTTTATTGCGCACGTAGTTTGAAGGTACACTGAAAAATAATGTCACTCTTCATACGCGAGCCAGTCGGTGGGCGTTATGCATCGCGGGGTAACAGGGTTGCCTTTTCGAACGTGCACGTAGGTGAATACGCCGATAGTGATGTGTATGAACGCGATGGCGCGGCTCAGCTCTCTCTCTCTCTCTCTCTCTCTCTCTCTCTCTCTCTCTCTCTCTCTCTTGGTTGTGCTCGCCGCTCGGTTAATACGATCGGGATCAATGGCGGTGGCGTGCAACGGTTTACGTATATGGACGGGGTCTCCTCTTGCGGGCCCATGTATGGAATACCAAGTCCCTCCATAATTTATCGTCGGTCGTGCCATCTCGGTCGCGTGAAGGATCTCCCTCGCGTATGTCGAACTCGTTCTACTACACGCCCCGCGGCGTAATCGATAACCGATAACCCCGGGAACCGCGATATTCGATAGGTCCCGGCTCGGAAGATTTCCGTTCACTCGCTCGCTCGCGCGATACCGGAGCCCATCGCGACGTAGCTTTCGCGAAGCGAGTGCGCCGAATTAATTGCCTCGCTGATCGAAGAGGATTTTGCGATCGCTCCTCTCTCTCCCTCTCTCTCTCTCTCTCTCTCTCTCTCTCTCTCTCTCATCTCGTTGGATCCCACAACGATCCCCGGGCGTAATGGGCATTACCTACGATTTGTCATCGCGCTTTATGACGCGAATCGTACGAGGGAGAGGAAGAGAAAGCGCAATACGTCGAAAACGGAAATCCCGGAGAAATTGTATTCGGGAATAGAGAGGGACCCACTCTTGCGATTTGCATTCAAATCTTCGATGGAAATTATACAATTTGTTCCATCTTCCTATGAGGATATATACGGTTAGCTACTACTATTACAAATTTTCGTTCAAGAGTCTCCTTAAGCTAAATTCGCCGGTGTGCGTCGGTAAGAGTTAATAAGCTGGCTGATAATTATAACCGTAACGTGGATCAAGAGAATCGCGATGTGTCATGCTGTCGGGCCAACGAATGTATCTACTCGCACGGTAATTTATAAACGCGCAAACGAGAAGGAACGAAAATGATGACTACGAAAAACAGCTCGCCTTATAAATCACACATCCCACTGAAGGCCCGATTAGCGGGATTTTATTCGCTTCGCGTACGCTCTATGGGAATTTATTTCATGAAAATTTATCTCCTTGGCAATCACATCTGTGTCGCGTTGGCGTTTTAATACGACATGCCGCGCGATTTTTTTCATTGCTTCGTGCAATTACTTGCCGTACCTATATCGTGTATCTTATTCTTTCGAAATAAAAGAAAGAATGAGAAAAAACAACGTCTCGTTGCGCGGTAAAGTGAGACGAGGGCAACGCCGTAATTTTCTTAAATTTTCCCCAATGTCCCTAGTAACCTGGGTGTTGCCACGCTTTTCGCGAAACAATAAACTGTGAAACTGAGTAATACCTTTACATGGATACAACCCTTCAATTACTCAACTTGTCGTGTGACACGCGAGATACGCGGGGAATATTTTATACGTGCATATTTACCCGGTGAAACACTTGCCATAATTCTACGATATCTGGCGAGCTTGACGGGTAATCGGAAGAATTGTTTGTGTGCCTGATGTAGAGCGATATTATAACTGTAGGTGCAAAATTGTTGTCATACCGTTAAGTCAATCTGCGACATCGTTAAGTCAATCTGCCAATTTATCAATCAAAATGCATCAGCGGGATTAAGTATATAGAGCGAGGGAAAAAAAGTGCGGGCTTCATTTTTAAAAATTGCGGTGTAACGTTATTGGACAGCGGGATATTTCGCGAAAAGTAAGATATTGAATGACGCGACACTGGCGCGCACGAGATTCGCGACTTCTGATATTAATCTTCTAGAGGAAAGTTCAGTGAAACGTGCGCTTTCCAATAAGCGCAATCGTGTGAGTGACTTGACGAGGTCGTTTTTAGATCGGATGAAAGTTCGTATCGAATATTCGTGTGTCGACGAAGTTCCGTGTAAAACAAGCCGCCCGCGGCGGCGCTGATTAAAAATCTATTCGATAAGTTATTGGACGTGCAAAGAACAACTACTCCTCATCCTCCTCTTTTTCGCGTTATTTCCACCAATTGTTCGATGCGAGTTTCTTTGTGATAGGCAAGTGACATTAACGCATGCATCCCGAGAAAAAAGATCTCAATTTCATTAGCATATATTTAACTTTACCGTGTTTCTTTTTGCGCTAAACCCTCGTTTAACAATCATGGTATTTTATGTGTAGAATGAATTTAATCAATACAAAGTCTAAATTATTTAATAAGAATTTATAAATGCTTACTTAAACACAGAAGTAAGCGTAACACAAATTGTACGATTTCACAACATTGACGTGCGACATTTTGGAAGAAATATAAACTGCGTTGTATTTTTTCGTTCATAATTGTTAGTTAAAAGTCCAAAGTTTTATTTTTTATTTTCAACAATGAATTCGATATTGGGCGGAAAAAAAGTTATTTCATTAAACGATATTTTTTAAAATTATATTTTGTCTTTCAAGTACGTATTGATATTTATAAAAGCTAAACTGTCAAATGTAATTTTGACAACGACTCTTGATACATGAATATCTAGAAGTGCGCGAATATGCGCGCGTTTCAAAATGTGTAATTTTATAGATTAGAGTGCACGTATCCAGTACCGAATTACAGCATATTTTCAACAATTAAACGCCCATTCATTCAATCAAGTTTCGTATTAAAACTCGTGTCCATAGGTTTATAAAGCTGATCAATGATCAGCTTTATTAGAAAGAGCTTAATTTACATACGCGTGTCATAATAGCGAACGACTCGACATTCGCTCTGAGATACGCCTGTCGTTTTCATCGATCCGAGGAATCTGA